TTCTGTTATGAAATAAGTCTCAGAAGAGGGGTCATTTTAGCATGTATTTAACAACAATAGTTTTGAAACTAGCACTAACATCCGTTTGTAAGACAAACCTTCTTGAACATTTAACTCTTTAAATCACATGAAGAATATGATGACAACATAAGGTCCTTGTCTTGCACATTCTTGGAGAAAATTATTTTAAGTAGGTTTTTGAGGAATAAGTTCTTGAGGTAGAATGTTTTACAGTTTTTATTAATAAGACCAAATATATTAAGTAGCTGAACTAAGTTAAGAAATCCAGAACGCCATAAAACTGCTTCTTAAGAACATGTAGCTAATTTTTACCAGTACTGAATAAAATTGTTAATATATTACAAAATCTAGATCTTCCATCTGTTTGAACTTTCATTCACCTTAAATATTGACCCACTATGAACAAGGTTAGGTATTTTAAAGCATGTAGTATTGAGCTAATTAGAGAGGCTGAAAAACTGTTTTTGTCCTTTTCTGTGTTTTTTGGATGTATCAATAATTGATGTACTGTGTAAATTGGCAAGATTCATTTGTTGTTACACTTTCTAGTTACTGGTGACAATACCAGTTCCTGTCCTTTTATTCAGTATGGAAGGTCAAGAAAATGGTTACACAAACCATATATGAGAATTAAAGTTCTGCTCCCCCAGTACAAGATCGTTGTCTAGTAGAATGTTAGTAGTCTGATGAGCTATTTCTGTCAATGGCATACTAATTACAGCACCACCATTTTAAGAATAATAGGTCTTTGAATGACAAAATGGAAAAGATACCTGATGACCCACAAAATACAGTTAATTTGATAACGCTTTGCATAATTTAATTTCCTAATGAGTTTCTTAATGAAGGCAGTATTTTACATTTAAATAGGATGTGTACTTCGTAATAATAATAATTTTCATAGTCATAATGCCCAGTGGTGACTTATTAAAAAAAAAAGTGTTAGTTTCCAGAGTGTTTTTGGATCAGTTATTGTATTTTCATAGGAGTGGTAAACAACAGAAGGAAAAGAGCTCATTGTGAATATTAAGGTCTTGTACTGTCACATTGGTGTTGATTGTAATACCAAAGTTATGATTAGCTTTTAGCATTTCATATGTACACTGGAGTGTCACCGTGTAATAGCAGTCAGCCACAGTAGTTAAGAGCAGTGCAGATTATTTCCATATTCTTGCATTCTTGTAGTCACATAATACAGCAATCTACAATGGTTCCGTTGTTTGGATTGCATGATAGAAAGTTGTGGTTTTTATTGAGCAGTGCTGTCCTTTTATGGTTTTTGTTCCACTAAAGAAGGAGTATATGAGAAAGAGATGTGAAAGCCCAACTTGTACACAGGGCCTCCTGCATCTTGCATCCTGCAAGAATTCTGTTTCCTCATGGTTTAGTCCGCTGTTGCTGATGACTGCATGCTTTTCCAAGTGCAGTTTAAGGAGATGAAGAAGATCGTTTCCATTGGAGTAAAATATATGGTCAACTGTAGCACTGGCCAAATTTAAATAACAATGTAGTGTGTTTCCCCCTCCCTCCCCAATGTGTTTGAATTAGGATAAGAGTACATGCTTTTTTTAACTATCAGATAGTGTTGGCCTTATAAGTGAGTGTGTGTGCGCGCACAGAATGCTACATGAAGGTCTCTCAACACTGCCCTGTTCTGCATCCCTTAGCTCTAGCTTTCAAATAAAAAACACATTCTGAAAACAAAATAATGAAGGAAATGTAATGACACAGTTCTGAAAACAGAATATGTTACTGAATACATTGAGAAGAAGCATAAACAAAAACCTTAGAAGTCACAGGTATCCCCTAGGTAGTGGCTCGTTGCTCTCATATTCTGTGAGTCTAGACAAGGTGCAAGACTGGGCAGGGATCAAGATTGCTGTGTGAATTCCAGCGTGATGTCTTTCAGTGTTCTTGGCTGCCGAGGACTTTGTGGTCATGGTAGATTCTGAGCGTTGTGTTCTGGTGATGTTTTTCGTGACAGATTTTTATTTCCGTGGTTGCTGGGTCAGGTATTTCTACCTTCATTTATACAGCAAGGACCCTGTGAGCCATCTAGTGGGAGGTTTCTTCTTAACACTTGGCCATTTGGGATATCTGTTCCTCGCGCCTTTTCCCATTCAGCCATCCAGCACCAGCCCCTCAGTCTGTCATGGGACTTCCCTCATCCTGCCCACTTACCTGTTGAGATCAGATTTCTGTCAAGTGACACAGGGAAGTGAAGAGCTGCATTTTTTTGAGGTTGAATGGCAAAACAGAACAGACTTTGCTAGACCTCCGTTACTTTCTATGTGTCAAAATCCATAAAAGGTCGTTTTAATAAACCAGGAAACAGTGGAGTAAAAAAAGACAGAGAAGTCACTTTATGAACCTGTTCATGACAGTTACCTAACTGGAATAAAGAATGCTTATTTATTTAGTGTATGAATGTTTGTACAAGAAGAAAATAGTGTTTTAAGTGTCAGCATAAGCTCTTCTACAACATGGGATGCAGATGCCTTCTAATGAAAGTTGTGGTGACGGGCACCCGGATATATGTTGTCTGCTTTGGGTTGAACTGAGCCATGTAAGGCCGCTCTAAACCAGCTTGAAGTTTCCCCCTCTATAAAGCAAACCTATGGCAATTCATGAAGTATCACTGTAATCATTTTTATGACACTATCGGAAACTTGATGTCCCTTGTGTAGTTTGTAGTGGTAAACCCCATGCAGCAAGTTGGGTGTATGCTGCTGAATAAATGTTGACCTATAGTAGTAATATGACAGAGCGTCTGCATTTAATTAGGGAGTAAGTTTAGAGAATGAAAATTTAGGGAAGACTGAGCTTTTTCATATGCCGCTGGGGGCTGTTGGGTCCAAGCCTGAGTGGGCTAAGGAAGAAGGAGATCGAGCACCCTGCAGAGCTAGACACTGGTAGCTCTGCTTCCAGGGAAGTCAGCAACGGCAGCAGGACTCGGGGAACAGATGGTAGAAAGCTATGCACTTAGGATTTAGATTTCCTCTATATACTCTGGTGAAGCTGACGGAGTCTCTCAGACGTGAAGTGGCCTGACTGACTTGGATCTGCAGGTAGGAGTCTCTTTCAGGCGTGGAATGCAATTTGCTATCTGTTAGAGGCACTTACCAGTATCTGTCTATGTGTGGGGTAAATGGTAGGCAGAGAAAAATGCAATATTGTTTTTTTACGGATAGCTTACAGTACATAGGGATAGTTTAGTTTGTGAACTGTCTTTTCAAAGATGGTGCAATGTACTGGTTTTTAGGATTCCCCTAGTTTTTAGGATCATATTTTTTAGGATCTTCTTTGATGAAACCAGAACAGTGCATACACAGTATGGCAGATGTTGCAAGAATCTGAGAAACCCACTGTGCCTTCAGCACACAGTTATTTTTGTCAGTTTTTCTGGTCATGCTGAGCACATCCAACTCTTCTGACATTAACGAGTGTACTAAGTATCTGTAGATTGACCAAGCAGAATATAAAACAACGGATATGCAAGGGAACTTTCAAAAAGCCAGCTGAGCCAGTGTACATGTAGATGCTGGTAATAGTTGGAATAGTTAGACGTTAGAAAACTTTCAGTGGTTCTTGATACTGCCAGAACTTTTAGTACTAGCGGACATACAGAGACCATGGAGAAATCTGAGCCCCAGATTCTCCATAGACTACATTTTTGGACAGAAAACTAAGAGTAAGTCTGAGAAAATGATAATGCTGTACTACAGGAACAGTGAAGTCTTGGGAGATAGTGAGGGCATTGCTGATGCTTTTATACTCGATTAATTTGTTTTTAAAGCGGTATGGATATAGATTTTATAGCAGAATTGCAGTTCTGAAGTGTATGTTATAAGATGTCTCTAGTAGAGAAGTGCTTCTAATTTTATCATAGTACAGAGTTGGTATACTTGCACATATAATAGTAATATCATGCGAAGAAGTATGGTCTTGGTTTTCTGTGGCAAAGTACAAATGTAATAATAATAGCTGTTATATGCAACATGGTGTTAAAGATGGCAGTAGTTTATTGTCTACCTCATATAATGATTTAGGTTGTCTAAGAAATTCATTTAGGTTGGTTGTCAGCTGCTCTGGTATTTCTGCAGATATTTTGATCAGCTTACATAGGGAGAGATGATACAGACCTGTGCTTTCTTCATTAGAATTGTATACTATGTGACAAGATGAG